TGAATCAGAGCACTCGCTCTCACTACTTTCATTGTCTAACTTTTCCTCCTCATGATTCTTTCTGGCCTGTTTCAAAACCAAGCTCTTGTCACGTTTTTTCATCTTCAAGAGGTGTTTTAAACACAACCTAATCCATGTCCATTATGATATCATTCTGAACCACATTCTCTACATGTGATTCAGTATCAGAAAGTTGACTCAAAATCGTTTGTGTATTCACTATTGCTTCTTCTCCACCATCAGTATTGTTGCTTTCATCCATCTCAAAGATGGTCAAATCGGACTTTTTGGTGCATGTTTTATCACTTTCATCACTTTGTCTAATCAAACCAAAATCAACATTGTTAGCTGCTGACACAACTATTTTCTGATGACTAGAGTTCAAGTCATTAGAAGTAGTAGCAACTTCTCCATTTTCATTCTGAGCATTTTTATCTTTAGCACTGTTATTCTGCTCACTTTGATGAGCGACACTTTCTGGACAGCCACGAATCAAATGACCAGACTTTCCACAACCAAAACACTTCATCGTGTCTGTAGAAACAAAGACTGTGTAATCAAAATCATCCAACTTAAATTTAAAGTTTAAGTCAAGGTCACATCGATTTCCACTTAGTATCATGTAGGTGAACTGTCTAAACGATACTACGTTTCACCAACTCTGATTTCCTCCCAATAGCGATCTTTTTTATGGGAGCAATAAGTTTACCAAAGCGTGACGATTCTTGGGTCAACATCTCAACAACCTTCTTAGCGGGAGTAAAAGGAGGTAGTACTGGGGTAAACAAACCATGTATGTTTATTCCCTTTCCAACAACTTAATTTGCTTTCTCTACTGTACTCAGAAACAACACGATTGAATTATTCATTCTAGATGCCGCAAGCACACACTCATGCCCAACGACATTGCCAACCGCTACACTACACTCCTCCACACTCCCTGCAGACACCACCTTCACCCCGTGGCGCCGCGTGAGTGAATCTAGAGCATTAGCTCCCCGAGTCGCCATCCCTACCAGTGCAATGACTGGTTTTGGCGCTCAACAAAAAGGCTTCTCTTCTAAATTCACAATTAAACTTTAACTTAACAACAAAGAAAAAAAGGAAAAAAAAGAAACTTATTACTGCACAGCGGGCAAAAAACCACACACTCACCACACCGCTCACTCTACTCACTCAACAAACGCCCACACATGTGCAGAGAGAGAGAGAGAGAGAGAGAGACAGCCACCTAGCTGTCACCAGTCATTTCTGCAGTTTTTGTTGTGTATTTTGTTTATTTGGTTCTCAAGGGAATTTAATTCTTTGATCTTATGTTTTTTTTTTTGTGACTAGGTTTTTTACATAGTCATACACATTTCTTACTTTGTTTTTTTTGACTGATTCAGGTTGTTTTGTCTTTTATATTGCCCTTCTTATTGTGGTTGATTTAAGGATATTTCCTTTTTTTGTAATTTGTTGGCATTTGTTTGCCTGTATCATTCATTCATTCTTTCAGCAAATTGGTTGTCGAGGTTGCTGGACACAGCACCTTGATTAGAAGGGCCAAACCCATTTGGTGAATTCCCACTTTTTTGTAAAAGCTATTGCGTGAGGCGCCCTGACTAATGTTTTAAAAAAATTGTGTTTGTCTGTGTTTCACTTCGTGTTTTGTTTTCTTGCTTCAGAACTGGGGCAGCCAGCAGCAGAGGATTGGCGTCACTTCATGACTTGGTGGTGGGATATTTGCTTGAATGGCGTGTTCACTAACAGGTGCAGTGTGCTGTGGTAAAATGTTTCATCTCATGTACCTAACGTATGTCTGATATCTGACTCTGCAGTAAACTAACCTTGCTTTAATGGTAAGGGCGTTTCCCCGGAAATAGGTTTAGGTTGGTGCAGCCGGTAATACTAAAAACATTCTAGTACTTCTCCAGTTATCATCCCCACATAGGCATTGAAGAAATTATCGGCCCTGCTGGTACTCCACCTTCATATGACTGACACGCATCCTCAAGTGGACCAGCATGTCTGTTACGTGCTTTAGGGTGATTCTGGTTGCCTGATAAGAGGACTCGAAAAAAGCTCATTATCTATGAAAAATGTCAACAATCTCACCGATTTGAAAAATACATTCTGAAACTAAGTTTGGTCACTATCTAAACCACACTTATATCAAACAGTGTGCAGTTTTTATGATTATGTAGAAAAGACATAGGCTGAAACTAAATTGCCAATTTGCTAATCAAGACCAAGGTTGTGCGCAGTCAAATTTTGTTCTTCAGAAAGATGTGTACAGTATTTCTGCATATTTGACCCTTTTCAAACAGCGGCAGTACAATTTTGAGATCCACCTCTCACACTAGAAAAAGGGCAACATGATGCTTTAGCAGTCAGGGTGTGTAAACTTTCGAACAGAATTATCAGTGAATCGAGGTGGCTTTTGCGCTGATGGCATGGGCCCATTATTGCTGCTTGCAGCTACAGTCAAACCTAAATTTATTCAGACACCTTCAACATTTCTCACATTATCACAGTTTATTCGCTATAGTTTAGAAAATGGTAATAAAATATGGCAAGAACTCAGAGTTACACTCTGTCAGAACAAGTTCATCTTGATAATGTCAGATAATTTTGATAGAAAGGTATGTAATGGATTACAATCAACCAAAAATGATTCAGCTGTTGTATTTAAGTATGCAATTAGATAATACTAGGGATGGGCAAGTTAGCGTGTTATAATCACGTTAAAGGCACAATATGTAAGATTTTTTAATTAAAATATCCAAAAACCACTAGAACAGTTTTATATATTTTGCTGACTTGTGTACTTACATTATCCCAAATGTTTCAAAGACCAGAGAAATAAGCAATTTTAATTAGTGGCACGGACCGTGTCCATTGTGTCGCCTGCAAATGACGTCATACACCCTTGATTTCCGGTTTTGTTTTGTAGAACATGGAAACACCAAAGACGCTTTACTATGCATTTTATTAGACAGGTGATGACCGCACAGAGTAGCATTATAACAAAACTTTAAAATGTATCTAATAAGATAAAACAGCTCTGCTTTACCCCACATACGCTCGACCGGAAGGAGCGGAAGTGGTCGACTGTGGCATAATAAAAGCTCTGCTGCTTTCGAGCCGTGTGTCACTCTTGTCTCTCATTAGCAATTGCTTCAGCGACCTCGTTTCGCTTCGACGGCTTTCCGCCTCACCCTGCTTCATACTATGACATTAATAAATCTTTAATACATTAGCTCATCCATGAACATGATTTCTGCACAAGTGCCGTCGGATTGCATCGGCTGTGGGGATGAAGACCACAACTCCCATGATTCCACACTCAGTCACGGCGTCATCAAACTACGCCCTTTGTTTCTTTGTTTGTTTTGAATACGCGCCCTCTAGTGGCGAAACATTACATATTGTGCCTTTAACGCATTAATTGATTAATGCCGACAATTATTTTATTGCGCATTGCGCATTAACTTTATTATTATGAAAGTCCGTTGCTCACTCGCTCTGAAGGAGGGGTGGGATGTTGATCAGTGATCAGTCAATGAGAGCATTTGAAAAACAATCTGTCACTAATTACTCACTCTCATGTTGTTTCAAACCCATAAGACCTTCGCTCATCTTTGGAACACAAATTATAATATTTTTGTTGAAATCCAAGAACTTTCTGACCCTGCATAGACAGCAATGTAACTGAAATGTTTCCAGACCCAGAAAGGTAGTATGGACATGGTTAAAATGGTCCATGTGACATCAGTGGTTCAACCATAATTCTACAAATCTATGAGAATACTTTTTTGTGCACAAAGAAAACAAAAATAACAACTTTATTCAACAATTCTTCTCTTCCACGTCAGCATCCCCCACCATCATTGAGAGTACCACGATGAATGTGTGTGCATTCTTCTGCTTGTAAACAAGGCGCAACGTCAGCAGCACCACACGCATACATTGTGGTACTCACAATAATGGCGGACGACGGTGCCGTGGAAGCAGGGTTGTAAAAATTACTCAAAAATTACACTTAAGTGAAAGAACAAATACATTTAGCTAATATAATTCCCAGACAACTAATGGCTACATCAAAACAGACAAAAATAATGAATAAATAGCGAATAAACCTAGCTACCTTAATATGCTTTCTCACATCGGATGGCAAAGGAATTTTGAAGCCAGAAATTTACCTGATGAAAGTTATAACCAACGCTGAAACGGATGTACTTGATATATGAAAACAAACCTCACTGGCGTGCACGTTTGAGCTTCCATGTACCATATTTAATGTGTGTAAGATCAAATAAAAATGCAAAAATGTAACAAATACTCTCACACATTAAGACAAATATCTAATGAAACCACACAATCATAGGATTAAACAATGATTAAAAGCACTACAAGAGCAAGTGAAATAAAATATGTATGATAATAGATCTTTCATGTGGGACAAATGGCACATCAAATTAAATCAAAGGAAGCTGGGAAAACATATTAAATAATTGTCAGCCATGGAAAAGGAGGTGATTACAAGGGTCTCAAAATGTATAGACTTGTTTATGTTTGTGATCATTATGGTTTGCACAATGCATAGTAATGTGTTTTCATTGTCAAGTTTTTATGAAAGCTCTATTATCTACTGTGACATAAATGTTGTTTGCATAAATGCATAAAAACCTGTGACTAATGTTGTTTATTTCAGTACCTTAACTGTACCTGAAATATGCAATAACTATCTGGTGAAAGAAAGAAAGAAAGAAAGAAAGAAAGAAAGAAAGAAAGAAAGAAAGAAAGAAAGAAAGAAAGAAAGAAAGAAAGAAAGAAAGAAAGAAAGAAAGAAAGAAAGAAAGAAAGAAAGAAAGAAAGAAAGAAAGAAAGAAAGAAAGACATGTGAAGTCAAAGATGGATAGCATTATTCAGACTTTCAGTGATCCCTTGGTTATAGATTATTATTAGCCATAGGAGAGCTTCACATTTAGTCATGTTCCATGTGTTTTTTATTGACAGATCTATCCTTCGGACCACAACAGCAACAACTTCTCCACTCCTTCCACTCCTGTGGGCTCCCCTCAGGGCATTGCAAGTAAGTCAGATAAGCTGTCAAAGCTTGATATGGTTCATTAGATCTGTTTGTGTTGAAAGGTACCAAGACAAAAATGGGTATGCAGAGGAAGAAGCCTGAAGAATCATAAATCATTATTTTTAGATTGATGGGCTTTGTGTAGGTTAAGGTGTGAATGTGAAGCTCTAGAGCGCCATCTGCTGTCATAGTGACATACCAGCATTCAGATGTTTCACATTTAGTCTATATATCATGTTCTCCTCAGCAGGTGCAGCACAGTGGTCGAGAGCTTCTGGCCAGGCTGCTCTGTCTCCTAACTATGAGGGTGGACTACATGCACTGGTAGGTTTATCCTTTTTGAATATTCCCACAATGTAAACACCTCAAGCTTCACTCTTCAATTAGACAAATATACAAGTGTTATTTTAGTATTATTTGTATAATTTTAAAATATTAATCAGTATTGTGATTTCGCTTTTATGGTTGGTTTTATTTAAAATTTTAGTTGTTGTTTTTTTTCTATTTAGCTTAAATAGATTTTTATTTCAGTTTTAGTAATTTTAGTACTTTTATTTGTGTTAGTTGCCAAGGCAACATTTCTAATTTTCGTTTAAGCTCAAGTTTTCCATCTAATATTCATATTTTATCTCAGCTAACAACAATTACTTTAATAGTTTGTTTTACTTAACAATAACACTGATGTACAACCACATTTAGCAATGTTAGCATTTAGCGTTTTTAGATTATATTTAAAAAAATGCAATTTAAACACATTAAATAAAATGTATTGTGTTCTAATATTATTATATTATTTATATGTTTGACTTTCTTAATGAATGTTTTTGGCCTCATTGTGTACAAATCATCTGTGCCTTTTATTCTATTTATTCTATTAAAGGCACAATATGTAAGATTTTTTAATTAAAATATCCAAAAACCACTAGAACAGTTTTATATATTTTGCTGACTTGTGTACTTACATTATCCCAAATGTTTCAAAGACCAGAGAAATAAGCAATTTTAATTAGTGGCACGGACCGTGTCCATTGTGTCGCCTGCAAATGACGTCATACACCCTTGATTTCCGGTTTTGTTTTGTAGAACATGGAAACACCAAAGACGCTTTACTATGCATTTTATTAGACAGGTGATGACCGCACAGAGTAGCATTATAACAAAACTTTAAAATGTATCTAATAAGATAAAACAGCTCTGCTTTACCCCACATACGCTCGACCGGAAGGAGCGGAAGTGGTCGACTGTGGCATAATAAAAGCTCTGCTGCTTTCGAGCCGTGTGTCACTCTTGTCTCTCATTAGCAATTGCTTCAGCGACCTCGTTTCGCTTCGACGGCTTTCCGCCTCACCCTGCTTCATACTATGACATTAATAAATCTTTAATACATTAGCTCATCCATGAAGATGATTTCTGCCCGAGTCCCGTCGGATTGCTTCGGCTGTGGGGATGAAGTCGACAACTCCCATGATTCCACACTCAGTCACGGCGTCATCAAACTACGCCCTTTGTTTCTTTGTTTGTTTTGAATACGCGCCCTCTAGTGGCGAAACATTACATATTGTGCCTTTAACGCATTAATTGATTAATGCCGACAATTATTTTATTGCGCATTAACGCAGTTTTTTATTATTATGAAAGTCCGTTGCTCACTCGCTCTGAAGGAGGGGTGGGATGTTGATCAGTACTCAACCAATGAGAGCATTTGAAAAACAATCTGTCACTAATTACTCACTCTCATGTTGTTTCAAACCCATAAGACCTTCGCTCATCTTTGGAACACAAATTATAATATTTTTGTTGAAATCCAAGAACTTTCTGACCCTGCATAGACAGCAATGTAACTGAAATGTTTCCAGACCCAGAAAGGTAGTATGGACATGGTTAAAATGGTCCATGTGACATCAGTGGTTCAACCATAATTCTACAAATCTATGAGAATACTTTTTTGTGCACAAAGAAAACAAAAATAACAACTTTATTCAACAATTCTTCTCTTCCACGTCAGCATCCCCCACCATCATTGAGAGTACCACGATGAATGTGTGTGCATTCTTCTGCTTGTAAACAAGGCGCAACGTCAGCAGCACCACACGCATACATTGTGGTACTCACAATAATGGCGGACGACGGTGCCGTGGAAGCAGGGTTGTAAAAATTACTCAAAAATTACACTTAAGTGAAAGAACAAATACATTTAGCTAATATAATTCCCAGACAACTAATGGCTACATCAAAACAGACAAAAATAATGAATAAATAGCGAATAAACATAGCTACCTTAATATGCTTTCTCACATCGGATGGCAAAGGAATTTTGAAGCCAGAAATTTACCTGATGAAAGTTATAACCAACGCTGAAACGGATGTACTTGATATATGAAAACAAACCTCACTGGCGTGCACGTTTGAGCTTCCATGTACCATATTTAATGTGTGTAAGATCAAATAAAAATGCAAAAATGTAACAAATACTCTCACACGTTAAGACAAATATCTAATGAAACCACACAATCATAGGATTAAACAATGATTAAAAGCACTACAAGAGCAAGTGAAATAAAATATGTATGATAATAGATCTTTCATGTGGGACAAATGGCACATCAAATTAAATCAAAGGAAGCTGGGAAAACATATTAAATAATTGTCAGCCATGGAAAAGGAGGTGATTACAAGGGTCTCAAAATGTATAGACTTGTTTATGTTTGTGATCATTATGGTTTGCACAATGCATAGTAATGTGTTTTCATTGTCAAGTTTTTATGAAAGCTCTATTATCTACTGTGACATAAATGTTGTTTGCATAAATGCATAAAAACCTGTGACTAATGTTGTTTATTTCAGTACCTTAACTGTACCTGAAATATGCAATAACTATCTGGTGAAAGAAAGAAAGAAAGAAAGAAAGAAAGAAAGAAAGAAAGAAAGAAAGAAAGAAAGAGAAAAAGAAAGAAAGAAAGAAAGAAAGAAAGAGAAAAAGAAAGAAAAGTAAAATCCAAAATGCAATGACCAGATCGTGCAGCAGAGGGCAGATTGATGCAGAGAATGATTACTGCTGTTCAAAATCACTGACCAACAGATGAAGAGGAAAACTTTTATTTACATTTAGAAAAATCTTATATAGAGTATATTTCTTTGTATGAAAATTATGCATTCTGACTGACAAGCTCATATTTCTTTTTAAATTTGATTGTGTATGATTTTACCCTGTACTTGAGCCTGAAAAAATCTGACAGGTTAAGGTTTGTCTGGCAAGCGTAACTGTTAGCTCAATTGAAGGCCCTTTAAAAGCATCCATGGATTGTGATTTATTTTCCCAGGTTTTACTAACAGTTAGTTTGTCTGTGTTTTGGTTAAACTAAGAGGGTGTAAATATGAAAAGCTGTTAAACTCTCTGTTTGTGTTTGGCATCACTATTGAGCAATCACTGTTGTGTCATTGAGCAATGCATTTGACTGCAGGCTCCACTTACAGAGTCGACTTTCGTCTTCTCTCGGTTCATCTTTTCAGAATGCCGTGAATGCTTCTGGTTTTACTTGACTGCATTGCTGCTTTTATTGAGGAAACGCACTGTGTTTGTTAAACACCCTACAGCAAAGTCCTGTAAGCAGATTCCAGATTCCATTCATACTGATCTGTGCAAAATGTCAGCTCCTTAAACATAATCAATTTCATGGGTATTTGATGCATGAAAGCCGTTCGGAAATGAGATAGATTACAATACAATGTCAATCATTAAACTCGATTAAAATGAAATAACTCCAGGCAATGCAAGTTTAAAATATTTTTTATTGTATTCAACTATTTAGTGTTGTTGTTGTTGTTGTTGTTGTTGGTTGGTGTGTGTGTGTGTGTGTCTGTGTGTGTGTGTGTGTGTGTGTGTGTGTGTTTCTTGTTAGGTAAGGCATGCAACAGTTCATTAGCTGATCATCATTAAAGCCAGTTACAAATATAATCATTATTAAAAATAACAAATACTAATAAACATATATTTATTCATTTTATTTATTTAAATCTGTGGTATGGTTGGATGTTTATTTGAAGCATAAAATTCTGAAATACAGTATATGTTAGATGCCACTACAGACACCAGAATCTGACCATCCCAGCTTCATTTTTTTATGTATGTATGTAAAAAATTAAAAAAGATATTTTGAGATTTGTCCATACAATAAAAGTCAATGGTCACCAAAACGGTTTGGTTAAACACATCCTTTAATATCTTATTTTGTGCTCTGCAGTCAGTCATACAGGTTTGGAACAATGTGAGTAAATTACTATACTGAACTATCCACTCTATTTTGACTGAAAGAGAAAGACACTCACAGCTTGTTTTATTTGGATTAAGGCTCTGTGAGATTCCAGGAAATCTGGCTAAGACCATTCAATCTATTTAAATATTTTGGTAAGATTAATTATGTAAAATTATAAATCCTAATCCATAAATCTGGCTCTCCACAGCAGTTCATCCTCCGCGTCTACTTGGCTTGAATAGCGAAAAAAGGCTCAATTTGCAAGGTTTATCTCAAGCCCAATAATTTTCCAAATATCCTCAAGCTGTTGTAGTGTGAACTGAAAGAGTGGAAGATCATCTTGGTAATAATGTGGGCAGTGGACATCTGTTTAACATGTAGTCAACACGGTCACATACCCAGCGCGGCATGAGCCTAAACTGACCCATATGGACACAGTTTTTATTCAAGGTACAACTAAAATCTAATGGATACCTCTGCTGTGCACTAGTCCCCACATCTGCATATTGTTATGAACATGGCTTGACATATGGTGAGTAGGTGTAGGCGTGTTTTATTGCTTTATTTGACAGGTTGAACCCAAGATCTATAAAGCTGTCTGTCAGTATTTCCATTCTTGTCAAAGATGGTTTCTCGGCAGGATCCTCCAAAAGTATGCTATCTGAAGTCTGATGTCTTTGCTCATGGCCACTTAGTCCAGGATACAGGTATTTTTGAATTAATCATGTGGCTGTATTACAAAACTTTCTATCTTCATTTTTTTGATTTAAGATTTTGATTTTAATGGCCAGTTCCTAGTAGGAAATTGTAACTGAAATGCCCTTTCAAGTCAGATTTCCGACTCGGAAACTCAGAGGAACTGCGATAACCCGACTTCAGAATCCAATATGGCTGCTCAGAACATAAACATTCGTGAAACAGTAGTAGTAATACATTGTTTATTAGCACTTCTGTTTGTCTGTGTCTCAATAAACTCAGTGGTGGACACAGGACTATCAAATCTCTATCTTTGGACATGATACTTCAACATTATTTGTGCAAAATACCACTTTTTTATGTTTTTATCGACTG